GGCTCTTACTGGCGATGCCATGGGTATGAACATGGTGTCCAAGGGTGCGGAGATGGCCCTGCGTTGCATTAAGCGTCAATTTCCCGACATGCAAATCATTTCGTTGAGCGGAAACTTTTGCTGCGACAAGAAACCCGCAGCAATCAATTGGATTAAGGGGCGTGGCAAGCGCGTAGTCACTGAGTGCACCATATCGGCAGCCACATTACGTTCAGTTTTGAAAACGGACGCGAAAACGCTGGTCGAGTGTAATAAACTGAAGAACATGTCTGGCAGCGCTATGGCAGGCAGCATTGGTGGCAATAATGCGCATGCGGCCAACATGGTCACCGCTGTGTTTCTAGCCACCGGTCAGGATCCTGCACAGAATGTCACATCCAGTAATTGTTCCACTGCTATGGAGTGCTGGAACGAGAATAGTGAAGATCTATATATGACCTGCACCATGCCCTCGCTGGAAGTGGGCACCGTGGGCGGAGGCACAGGTCTGCCCGGACAGGGTGCCTGCCTCGACTTGCTGGGCGTGCGCGGCGCCCATGCCACCCACCCCGGCGACAATGCTCGGAAACTGGCACAAATCGTCTGTGCCACCGTGATGGCCGGTGAACTGAGCCTAATGGCGGCGCTGGTTAACAGCGATCTAGTCAAGAGTCACATGCGTCACAATCGGTAAGAGTATAAGCGATGTTCGTTTTCGTAAAAGACTAATTTATTTGTCGTTCGGTTTCACTTTTAGGTCATCCATTGCTGTAAGCAGCGCCAACAATCCGCTCAACGTGACCGTCTCCAGTTGCAGCACAATCAGCTAGAACTGACGCCACTTTTACCTCCCTGTACATAGGCGCTCAGATCGAGTGGGGCGTTCAAGTTAAAATTATTTTGTTGAAACGAATGCTTATTGAATTAATTATTATAATTATAATTGTAATTAATCAATTGGCCAGGCCAAACTTCAGCAGCAGCATTAAGCGATTGTTTAAAGCCAAAGCCAAAGCCTTTTGTGTCCGTATGCGGTATACATATTTGTTGTAATTGTTAAAACTAGTATCAAGTATAACGCAGTCTGGGATTCAATGTTGTTGCAATTTCCATTTAGTTAATACGAGTATAGCTATGTATATATATATAAATATATATATAGGTATTTAATATATATATATATATATATATATATCAATGTGTGCATACGATAATGAGCCTATTTTTTCTACAAACATATTTCTAGTGCAAGCGCAAAAACTTGTAAAAAGTATTCCTTAAGCGAACTAGTTTTAGTGACTAAAGTTTAAAAATCAATGGTTTTTTTAGTAGACGAGACTATAGAGGGTGCCAAGCGAGAAAAACACGAAATGTTTTAATTGATAAATGTCTTTTTTAGACGCTGCGCCCGGGCTTTCAATTCGGAACTTCATTTATTTTACTTTAATAATAATAATTATTAATAAATTATTATAATTAATTGATAATAACTCACAATGTGTTTTATTTAGTGTGTTGTGGTTTTTCATTTGTGTTTTTTTTATTTGAAACAAAATAAAATAATGAGAAAAAAGAGCGAAAACGTAGGCCAAGTGTTTTTAAGCCCCTTCTTCCTCTTCAGCCAGCACCTTGGGTTCTGCATCAGCATCACTATCTGCCGCTGACACGACTGCATCCACACTGCTGTCTGCCAGCATGAGCGCCTTCTTTGGGCTGGGCTCATTACTATCCGCCTCGGCAATGGCTGTGTTGGACCCAGTGGTTGGCATTAAGTCAACTACACCGCCCACTGCCTCATCCTCGTCATCATCGTTAGTTGTTGATTCGGGCTGTACGCTGACGGCACAGGCTTCAGATGAAATGCCATTTTTGGCTTCTACCACCGCGCACTCCTCTGGATGCGTCAGCTTGCGCTTGGAAATACGCTCACTCAGCGCTTTGTGCACTTGTGCAATGTCTGCGGGTCGGCCCATTGCCAAGAAGATCTTTACGGTGCCTGTGTTGTCCATGGCAGTTAGACGTAGCGATTTCTGGCTGGCGCGTTCGGCCACCATTGCCGCCCAGACTTTAGTGTTTACTAGCAAACGCAAGTTGCCCGACGTGCGAAAGACGACGCGCGAACAATCACGTTCATCCTTGGCATCGTTGAGACGCAAACTGCCGCGTCCACGCTCCTCCCAATTGCTGTTGACAAATGCAAATAGCTTGCAGCTAACATCGGCAATATTAATTTCGTTTTCCTCGCCGGTAAAGGTCTCAACCTCTTCATATTTCCGTTTCTGTGCACGGCTCTCCTCGTATTCACGAGCCACCTCATTGAGGCTCTTTGCTTCAGACGTCTCCCTGTTGTTGTCTGTCGATTGGGCAGCCTTCTGAATGACGCTGGAAAAAAGCAATTGCGATGAGGTAGCTTCCACTGTTCCCGACGATGCAGCTTCTGCATTCGACTCTGTGCTAACGTTTTCCTGTAATACATTTAATATTTGTATATCTAAGAAATGTTTTTAAATTTAAATCATACCCCCACGACTCGCTCGTGCACATTCTGGCCGAAAATAAATCCACTTGTCTGTACACGCGGCAAAGTTGTTTTAGCCGCAGCAAATATGTTGGAGCGCTCAATGCCGTTGTTGCGCAGCATTGAGAGCGGATCCGGCCGCTCATCGATTTCATCGTCATCCTTATCAATATTCTCTGTGGACTCCACCACTTGGGCGCCAGCTTCGTCTTCATCTTCCCTCTGCTCACGTAAAAACGGATTACCTACAATACCATCTTCATCAGTCTTCTCGTTTCCACCGGCTAACGTTGTAGAGCTGTTGTTGCTGTTGGTATTGCTAAGAGCCGAGCTTATTATAGAACTGTCGCCGAGCACAGGTGGCCGCAGCACGGCTCCGCCAAGGCGCGATGCCTTCAAAGTAAAACCGCCTCTGAAGCAGTTGGATTCAACCGACGCCTCTACAAAACACAACAAGAACAAGCAAAGATTTGACTTTAACTTCACTTTATATTGGCTCATTCGAGCTAAACCTCTGTCACTCTGGAACATGTCCAAGACTCATACGCACGACAAACGGTATCTAGTGGCATAGCTATCACACTTACCATTATTTTCGGACATGGCAATGAAAATATATGATTGTGATTTATAGTTAGCCAAAAAATTTTACAAGAAAAAAGCGTTCTCTTCAAGCCTATATTAGTGCTATAAAACGATCGACTATCGATACCAAAATAGCATTGGTATTGTTTTAACATCGATAACATTTGGTGATTGTACAACACATGTATCTGTCAAACTTGTTAAAGGTTGGAAAAAAAACACGAAATTTTACAAGTCATCGACTCAAAAGGCAAAGCGAAGAAACCAACTAGCCACAACATAAGTTTTATTTAATAAAGTTTGTTATTAAAACAAGTTAACTAAAAATGGCCCAAACACTTGAGGACAAATCAATATGGGAGGATGGCGAGGAATCATTGGGCGAAGAGGTGCTGCGAATGTCCACTGATGAGATTGTGAGCAGGACTCGACTTATGGATAACGAAATTAAAATAATGAAGAGCGAGGTAATGAGGATCACACATGAAATTCAAGCACAAAACGAGAAAATTAAGGACAACACAGAAAAAATAAAGGTATGAAAAGTGTATTTACTAATATGAAACAGTAAGTTAATGTATATAAATATATATTCTAGGTTAATAAAACTTTGCCATATCTGGTGTCCAATGTCATCGAGCTGCTGGATGTTGATCCGCAAGAAGAGGAGGATGATGGCTCTGTTACTGTGCTGGACAACCAACGCAAAGGCAAATGTGCTGTTATAAAAACTTCAACCCGTCAGGCATATTTCTTGCCAGTCATTGGCCTGGTCGATGCCGAAAAACTAAAACCCGGCGATTTAGTTGGAGTAAATAAGGACTCTTATCTGATTCTGGAAACTCTGCCAGCTGAATACGATGCTCGTGTTAAAGCTATGGAAGTTGATGAGCGCCCCACAGAACAGTATTCCGATATTGGTGGCCTGGATAAACAGATCCAGGAGCTCATCGAAGCCGTGGTACTTCCCATGACGCACAAGGAAAAGTTCAAGAATCTAGGCATCCATCCACCAAAAGGTCAGTATGATTAGACTGAAATAAATGTAATAATCTATAACTCTTCATAGGTGTCTTATTGTATGGACCACCTGGAACTGGCAAGACTTTGCTTGCTCGTGCTTGCGCTGCCCAAACGAAGTCTACTTTCCTTAAGCTTGCTGGACCCCAGCTGGTTCAAATGTTCATTGGTGACGGTGCTAAGCTGGTGCGGGATGCCTTTGCGCTGGCCAAGGAGAAGGCACCCGCTATAATTTTTATTGATGAGTTGGACGCTATTGGTACAAAGCGTTTTGATTCAGAGAAAGCCGGTGATCGTGAAGTGCAGCGTACCATGTTAGAGCTCCTAAATCAATTAGACGGCTTTAGCTCAACTGCCGATATTAAGGTGATTGCAGCCACGAATCGAGTCGATATTCTTGATCCTGCCCTATTGCGTTCCGGCCGATTGGATCGTAAGATCGAATTTCCACATCCGAATGAAGAAGCGCGTGCACGCATCATGCAAATTCACTCCCGTAAAATGAATGTTAGCAACGATGTAAACTTTGAAGAATTATCTCGTTCCACAGACGACTTCAATGGCGCACAATGCAAGGCTGTTTGTGTAGAGGCGGGCATGATTGCTCTGCGGCGCTCGGCTACATCGGTGACGCATGAGGACTTTATGGATGCTATCATGGAGGTGCAGTCCAAAAAGAAAGCTAATCTTAACTACTATGCCTAGACTAAAAACTCGCAAATTAAATTTATTTGTAATCTTGCAACATTAAACAAGAAAATATATTAAACAAAAAATGTTTTTCGAAGAAATTTAGCGTTAGGAATCGTATCGCATGGATAAGCAGTTTTATCAGTACAACACATATATATTTTTTGAGTAAGATATTTCTGATTTTTAAATATCTAAAAATTCCATTCAGAAATAATAAAAAATAGATGATAAATATTTACATGGTCACTAATTAAACTAGGGATGATTAAACAATTTGTTAAGCCTAATCAGTGGGATCGAGCGTATTGCTGCTGCTGCTGCTGCTGCTTGTCCCTGCAGATGAGCTGCTTGCCGTATTTGTTGGGCTGGACGATTCGCTGCTAGACACGGTTGCAGTCGTTGTAGTTATGGATGTGGAGGATACTTCTGTAACGACCGTTGCTCCAGTAGAAGAACCGGAAGCGGAAGCTGCTGCTGCTGTCGCTGTGGCTCCTACTGGTGCTAATGGAACTGCTTGTGCAGTATTCACGGGAACAGCTGCTATATCATTACCTAATGGCTGGGGTGCCTGTGCAGGTTGATCTGGCTGTTGGAATGGTCGTCTAGTGTACATTATTATACCCAATAGCAGGGTTAGTACGGTAATCATATATAAATCCCAATTGGCAGCAATATTTTCATCCATATAAAAGATGAATCTGTATGGCGACTGAATGGCATCGATTAGAATTGATCAAGGGCGAGGTGGGATGTATAATAATTCTTACCTGTTTTATTGACTCAATCTTGGCTAACATCTGAAGCTTGAATAGTGCAATAGCGACAGGCACTTTGGCATCCGAATTTGTTTCTGCTGCCAAATCATATAATCTTTTAGCCAGATGCCAATCCTTCTTCATGCCCAATCCTTGCTCGTGCATGTAACCCAAATTAAACATAGCTTGCGCGTTGTATTGCTGATCTGAAGCTTTTCTGCACAGCAAGTATAATAAGGAAAAGGTTGTAATGCCCGAAATTAGTTGATTTCATAGCTACGCACCTGTAAAGAGCTGCAGCAGTTTCAAAATCGGTTTTAGTACCCCAGCCATAGTAATAGTAATCGCCTAGCTTCACTTGAGCCGCTGAATAACCCTGGCCAGCAGCTCGTTTCCAATAATAAAATGCACGAATCAAATCTTCATGTCGATCGTTAAACACATGAACCTCCTCTCGATCCAAAAGGAATGCTGCATTGCTCTGCGCCACCTCATAGCCAACTTCAGCCATTAGGGAATACTGCATGTACGCCTCATCAATGCGATTCTGTTTATAATCACTATAGGCGTGCATCAATCTACTGCTCCAACGGCCACGCTCTGCGACGTTTTTGAAGAACTGGAATGGTTAAAAATATTGGATATTTAGAATTATAATTGCAAACACTGTAACATATGCCAAACACACCTCAACAGCAGCTGGGCAGGATCGCAGCATGCCCATGCCATAAGCATGCATAATACCCAAATTATAGTAGGCCAAAACATGGCCTGACTGTGTGGCCAAATTAAAATATTTAAGCGCAAGTTTGTAGTCTGTCTTAACGCCATTGCCAGCTAGAATTAAATAATAGCAAAAACAAATATTATTACAAATTTTCGAAATCTTTTGTAAACTTTGAAATAAATAACTTACTAAAGTACATGGTGCCCAGTTGCAATTGTCCGTCAACCCAGCCTTGATCTGCAGCTTGTGTAAAGTACGACAAAGCCTTGATGGAATCTTTGGGCACACCAAGACCTTTCAAGTACATTAGCCCTAGACCGCTTTGACCCACCGGATCACCCATTTCAGAAGCCTTGGAGAAGTACTATTAATGAAATAAAAAAATTAATTATATTTAGCAACCGAATAGATATTCATTCATTATGTTTCTTTTACCTTGAAGGCAGTTTCGTTATCCGCCTTGATTTGCTCACTACCCTCCAAATAGAGCTTGCCGAGAAATGCAAAACCTATGGCATTGCCTGCGTTGGCTGCAAGCGTGAAATACTCCAATGCCTTTTGGTGATCTTGCTGAATAGCCTTCCCGCCTTGGTAATACAACTGACCTAAGCCTACTTGGGACTGCACATCGCCTTTGTCGGCGAGCAATTGATAATAGTCTACAATTTCCGTTTCATGACTGCCTGGATTCTCTAGCTCATCTAGCAGACGGACTCGATGCACAACCGGCCCGTTGGCGAACGTAATCTTTGATGCTACCTTCTTAGCCACACGCTTGTATTGAATTAAGGACTTCTCACAGCTAGTTGGCACATTGATGCCATACAAATACCGATAGCCCATGGCCATCTGGGCAAGCGTATTGTCGCCAAGTGCAGCAAGCGTGTAATGTAGTAGAGCCAGTGGTTGACTGACATTCTTGCCACCTACTCCCGCCGAGTATAGGAATCCCAGACCTAAATGAGCCTCATGAACACCTTCATTTGCCAAGCTCTCGAACTCGTCGGCGGCATGGTGAAAATCAAATGGCATCCAATGACCCAAGAGCACGGACCAGGCCAGTTCTGCGCGTGCCTTGGGATGATTAAAAGCGGCTGCCTTGCGAAGCAGTGTTAATGCAACGCGTTTATCACTGCGCGGCTTGGCCAGCATTTCCATGGCATTCTCGTAAAGCCCTTGAGCTGTAATTTAAATATTGCAACACACGAATAGTTATATTACTCGAATCGATTACCTTCCATCTGCTCGGGGGTTAAATCGGCTACGGCAGCGGGCGTTGTTCTCGCTTCAATGAGTTCGATCTGAGCTTTTAGCTTTTGCTGTTTCATTAGACTGTCATTCCATAGGCGCTCAAACAATGCAGCAGGCATTACTTTTGTGCGCGGCGCAAATTCCGTGTCCTTTAGCTTGGACGCCTTCCGGTCATTGCTCCCTGGTGCTGTTGCTGACGATGACGGGTCAATGGGAGGGGCTTTAGCATCTTTCTCGGCTGTCGTTATTTCATCGGCTTCAGTATTGGTTTGACTATGGGACTCCGTGGGCTCGTTCATTGCTGTCGCGCTGGCGATTTCAGAGAGTGGGCCCTGTAGCTCCGCCCGCAACAGCTGGCTGCTCTGGACTAAAAGGAGCAACAATATGCTCATCATGCTTGGCAGTCTCATCGTGAGGAACGTGTCTCTAGATTTTCGGTAAGAATATTAATGTTATGAATACTTAAAATTTCGGTAATATTTTTCTTGTTTCTTTAAGTCTGACGTGTTGTGTTATTTACTTTTTTTGTGCACACACTGATTGTTTTTTCACCGTTTCGTAGGGCCTAGTGCTTCCAATCCGTTTTATTGCTGGCGCATTTTTTAACAGTGCAACAACTTTACGTGTAGTCTTTTTTGTCTTTTGACAGCTTTAATTATTTTCACACGTAAGATTAAAGAACCTTTCATTTGTTGCAACAATAATTGCTGTCCAGTGTTACCAACGACGCAATGACAGAGATGAGCAAAATTGTAATGTCAAGTGAACTGTCACAGCTGATTTTATTATGAATGAGTGAGAACTTGAATTGTAAAATGTTATTAAATTAGTTTTTGTCCTAAATTTAGAATATAGTCTGGTGTGCATAAGTACACACCAATTTAAAAAACTTATCATCCATCATTTTATATATTTTCTGTGATAGTAAATTGAAGAAATTCTGACGTGAATTTAATTTATTGGGTTAGTATTTTTGTTGATGTTGATAACACTTCGCGATAGTTGGCTTTGTTGTCTCTTACAACATCAACTGACATACCGGCATGCACACCTCTACGACGTTTCTAGTGTTAGAAAATTTTACAGAGTTAATCTAGCCATTTTTGTTGTTCCATTTCATAATGCAAATTGCTAAAGCAGCAGCACAAAAACAATAGTGATAATTTATGAATATACTAATTAATATACAAGGAAGCATTGTTAGGCTGTGAGTCATTGATCTTTTGAACCAAAGAAGCTACACAAAAGCATGGAAATGAGTGTAAGTTACGGCAGCGGCTGCAAGGTATCAGGTACTGGCACTGCGTTCAACGACGCCAATGAAACCAGTTCCAAGCCGCGCTCCAAACGACTCAGACAGTCACGCATTAAGTTATTCATGCTTAACTTCGTAAGCTGGTGAAAGTTTCCAGCTGTTGCTGCATACACGCTAGGCTCGAAAACGTAGAGCGTCGATTATTAATCCTAAACTTCTCCCCACCCACCTGTGTGTCAATTCAAGGCGGCTATGCTTGCGCGTGTCTCCTTTTATCCAACGCTGCTCTACAATGTGCTAATGGAAAAGGCGACGGCAAGGAATTGGTACGATCGTATTGATGAAAATGTTATACTGGGAGCGCTGCCCTTTAGAAGCCAAGCAAATGACGTAAGTTATGTGATTTAAGATAAAAATAAATTTATTAAAAGTTTAATTTTTGGTACTTTTGTTCAATTTAAAAAAATTTTAACTGTGTAAACCCCAAGTAACTTTAAAATTTTTTTATAAAAATTGTTTGTGGCCAACAGCTAATTGAAAAAGAGAACATGAAAGCTGTCGTGTCAATGAATGAAGACTACGAACTTACCGCTTTTTCTAACGATTTACCTAAATGGAAGGCCCTTGGCATTGAATTTTTACAACTGGCTACCACAGATATATTCGAGTCACCCAATCAAGAAAAGCTCTACCGTGGCGTAGAGTTCATAAATCGCTTTTTACCACTGTCGAAGCGCATATCGCAAATAGACTCGTCGCAATATGCCGAAAATATTGGTTCGGTCTATGTACATTGTAAAGCGGGGCGAACACGCAGTGCCACTTTAGTGGGATGCTACCTAATGCTGGTACGTTTTATAAAAATTGCGTCCGATGACGCATTAAAGCCTTTGTTTAACAATGCGTATTTATTTTTAGAAAAACGGATGGACACCAGATCAAGCCGTCGAGCACATGCGTCAATGTCGTCCACATATCTTACTGCACACCAAACAATGGGATGCTTTGAGAATATTCTATGCAAATAATGTGGAGCCCCAGTCATGACCCAGCCCGGACTGAAATCTGATATACAATCGGTTGAATGTTTATTCAAAGCATAACATATGGTGCACGTTTTTTATTTTTTTGTTGCCTTTACCAAACCAATTAGTGCAGTTTCGTGTTAAGTAAAAGTTTTAAATACAAGTTTGTTGAGTAAGTGAGCCCCTTTTTCCTTTTTGTTTCAAGTTACTTTTATTTACTGCTAATGACTAAGACCCAAACGTCGAGTGGGTATACACAATAAGCAAGTGGGCTATCCATTTACTGGTTGGAGTCCTTGCCCTTGATAGCCCAGAAGCGTTTAATTCCATTGGCCAGACCGACATCGTTCTTGATATAATAAAAGAGGCCTCCCAACGTGGCAACTGACATTATAATAAGAGCAATGTGAGAAACTTTCGGTAGAATATTACCAACAACTGATGGACGCATGTAATCCACCACCATAGCCTCAACACCCCTAAAATTGTAAAACGGTTAGTTCAATTAAATCGCAAATGGTTACCATCTTAAGCATCTTACCAATGGGTGTGAATAACTACAGATATAGCCAAAAGAGCGTCCAAGACTTGCGAAGGAGCTATGAACGCTGCTGGAATAACTGCCAACAGGCCAGCCGACACTATGCGTTCAATAGTCCATAAACGAGTGTGACTGCTTGTCGCCGAAGCCATTCTTGGGGTGCTTACTGAAATATTACGCACTACGATGGGCTGAAAAATTTAGATAAGGCGATCAAATCAAAATCTCACAAACGATTCTTTAAATAAATACCGAAATTTGTTTAGCTAGAGCTAGAGGTTTGCTCACAGCTTGGCGTTGCGTGTTGGCCACAATTGTGGAGTAGGAATTCAAGGACGTGAGACGCACGGATTTAAGAAGTGCTGCAGCTGTCGGTGTGTCGTATGATGCCGTTATATAATGAGAACATTTGTCAGCTAAAACAAGTCATTTTACACTGTAATACAATACTTACCATTACCGCGAGCTGCACCACGTAGAAGCACAGTAGACAACATGTTTCTTATTGTATTTGAAAATATTGTTTCGTCGAAAATATAAAAACACTTATTGGCTCGAACAGTCAACTACCGACATTTAGAGTATTTTACAGCACTGAAATTGTTGATGCCTACTATTTATCGATGGGAAAAGCTATCGAATGTTGGGTTCCGCCCAACATTCATGTTAATTTCAATAATATTTGATCATTTATATGTATTTATATTTTTAATATATATATTATAAAAAAAAAACATTTAAGATATATTAAGCTGCTTTATTTGTTTGTACACAACATTGAGATTCGTTTGCGGACGGAATGTTAAAATGATGTCGAGATTTTCGAGCTGCATTGTCATTCTATTACTTTTGTACTTATAAACTAGATCGATATGTTGTAAATTTGTTTAAGAAAGTCGATAATTTTACAGAACATCAAAGGCACATTATTACATATTACTAAAAAGTTTTTCTAGACAAATATGGACGGTACTGTAAAACTTATACTACACTCATTAAGCGACTAAATATTTAGATACCATATAAATTCCGACAATGGCGAAGGTAACACTTGGGAAAGCCAAACGATCTACTCCAGCCTTGTAAAAGTCCCATTCAAAGACAATATTGGAAGCATCCGACGGTTTCCAAGGATTCAGTCCATCGTCGAAATACATAGGGCAGTCGTCGCGTTCACGTTCATACTCAACGGCATCAATGGCGACTGCAGCGCCTTCGGAGTGATTCCATGAGGTCACGTCTTGGTTCAGTTTGCAAAATGCCCCTACTGCCTGGGACATGAGAACGCGGTTTAGGTCTGCACGTTGATATACCCAGCAGCGATATTTAGATAAGGGATCCAAGTCATCGTAAGTGATTAGGTATGATTTTAGATTTTCTTTCCAGAAGCCAATGCATTTCATACGGTAATCGGGATCACTGTAAATATCAACAGGTCGTCCCAAATGATCCACAGACAAGCAATAGTTCTCATCGACAGCCAACTCCTTTTGGTCTGTGTCACAGACTGATAAATCGGATATGTTCTGCTTGCAGTGGATATCGGGACGAGGACTCAGTGTAACACCACCAAGGATTCTGAAATATTTTTCGGATTAGTCGCATTTCTCTAATTGTTATTCAATAAGAAACTAACCTTGTTTTAAAGGGATGCTCGCCCCTTTGTGTGAAATTAAACTTTCCAGCAACTGGACAGCGGACAGGAACCGGGTTTCTTGCTAAGAACAAATCATATTTCCATGCCTCTGAATTTGGGAATTGTACCCAGGAGCAAACTGTACTGAAATCATCTTTAATAACAGCTAAGCCCTTGCGATAACGTATGATATTGTGGTGTCTGGGCATAAAGTCAAAGCATACATAATCCTTTTGGCAACCGTCGACAGTGAGACGCGCCATCATAACACGATTGCCACGACGCTCGCGGCACACGTAAATCGTCTTTCGGTATCGAGCCCTATCAGGATAATATGTCTCATTGATGTGTGTCTCACTAATGGACACATCGGCATCAATGTTGGCCGTGTTCACCCATTCCCCAGAGAAATTCTGGGGCAGTGTGCAGCCAGGCTCAACGAATTCGGCCTTAACTGGTGTTAGTTTAAGACGCTCTGGCGAGTTTTCTGGTGTCTTAAGTGTATTGCATTCAGCAGTGATGGAAACACCCACATAAAGATCATCATCCCGATTCTTGAGGAAGCAACGATATTTTTCATCCTTACGTGATTCCTTTGTATTGGCAACAGCAAAATAATGATTTTTTCCCACAAACCAATCACCGAGACAGCTAAACTCCACTGTACCGGTAAACGTGCCTTCCATTCCCTCACACTTCTGATAAGTAATATTAAACTTTTGATTCTGGATAAGAAACTGTGTGCCAGCAGTTTGGCATGATTGGATGCGTGCATCTGGTTTGTTACAGACGCCCGTGAAGCGGAATCGATTCTAGAAACAGAATTAATTACAGTTAATTATTTACACAACTGCACAAAAACTTGCCTGATAAGTAAAATGCCAAACGCCCTCCAGTGATGAACGACAGTTAATTGGCACAAAGTTTTCATTGAACAATGTTATCAGCTGCTGATCATCCTTAATGCCTTTGCAAACATTCTCGACTGTGGGTTCCTGTCCAGCTGGCAAGCCTACACACGGTCCCTCAAACTTCTCAAAGATGTTCAACGTACGTATTATTGTACGCACGCAATGATAACAATTTACGGACCGTTCTTTAAACACAAACGAGTATTCATCACCGTGATGTCGTTGGTAATTGATGCAGTAGCCACGCCTCGACATTGATGTAGCATCGATGATCGTTTGAGTGGGCAACCCCACTTCCCATGAAAACCATGAACCTTGGAGTATTTTCGGTATAATACAGTTTCGCTGCTCTAGTTCATTGTATTGTGCTTGGGCTGTAATTTAAATTATGGTATTACTAAATTCTTCATGAATCATTTTTAAGCCTCGCTTAGACACTTGGGTGTGGCTGTAGCTGTAGTCGATGTACTAACCAATGCTGGATAGGCCTACAAGGCAGATAAAACTTAAGTATTTATTCATTTTAAAACCGCTAATATATTTAATTTTTTGCAAACATTATATTAGTTAAACGAGACTATCAAACAAATAAAATTAACACAAATTGCGTTTATAAAAACACGCAAGAAACAAATTTCCTAAATGCTAAGTCTGCGTTTTACAGCACTATAGTCACAGTCTAGTGCTTTACAACACTTAAACCATTTTTCAACTAGCTCTAATCGATTTATTTACATATTCAGTTAAAATTCAAATTAGAAGACTGTGTCTGAAGTTCAAATTTCAACTTTTTCTGACAAAACAGACAAGCTGCAGACATATTCTCTGATTATATTTTCGTTTAACCGCTTTATGCTGTAATAAAAATGTCTGGCTGATTACAGTAATCACAACTTAGCAACAAATGCAACCCATGCACGCCTGTGGGAAAACAATACAATTGCGCTAAAATTAACGCCGTCTGCTGCTTCTAATGTAAACAGACAGCTGCTATCTGTGGTAGTCCAATTGTCGCACGCTTAACGACCCGAACGCCCCCGACAATCATGACTAAGACACCCAGTGACAAATACCTTTAAGCTAGACTTTAAACCTCAGCATCATTTTTTGCTTCAGTTTGTAATATGGATTCAGATAAAAGAACATTTGTATCATCGAAATGATTCATGCTTGCATTTATGGAGTCCCTAGTTTTATTAGGATTATTGGAATCCGAGTCTGATCGCACTTTGGAACTTATTTAACTTTCAACAAATGGCATGTTGTTGATAAGTGTAGAGTCTAGGTACACACTTCTCTATGCGGATCGCGCCGTCCTTATCACTAGGTGGTAAAGGTCACACTGTGCATGACAAGCCACCCGTCATCCACAATGTCTATGAAGCGATCGATGCAAATTTGGCGCAGTCTCAATTCATAGCCCGTTTAAAAGGGAAGTGCGCTCTCCCAGTGGTAAAAAACTACACGAGTAATTGAAAAAGGAAACCCTATTGTGCCCTTAAATATTTTTAAATCTATATACTTGCTTATAATATTATAGGTAGGGAGCCTGTTTAACAATTTCCAATAAAGTGGGAACTTGATATGTGTTCAATTCTTTAAAGCAACTGCAACCATGGTCACTGGACTACGAATGGAGGCTATCGATCGAATTACATCAATTCCCTTGGTGGAGTCGAGCGTTAAGCGTGTTGAGCACATCTACGACAAAGTCAAGAATAACAATAGGCTCTTCAACTGGTACTTTGAGACAGCGGAGGCCACAATTAGTGCTGCCTACGAAACGGTCCAGCCGGCTGTTAAGCTATTCGAAATGCCCATCAAACGACTGGACAATGTGATGTGCAAAAGCCTTGATATATTGGAGCAACGCATACCACTTGTCTATCTGCCACCCGAAATGGTAAGTTCAGCTGCGACAGCATAGATGCCAATGTGACTTGAGATTCGCTGACATAGGCTATTATTTTGTGCTTAAAGATGTATTGGAATACCAAGGAGTATATGTCGGATCATCTGGTGCGACCTGTGCTCAAGCGTGCAGACTCCGTTAAACAAATTGGCAATGCGGTGCTTGAAAGTTCTCTGACAACCTACGCAGCAGATCGTATCGATGGAGCCTTTACAGCAGGCGACAAATTCGTCGACAAATACCTTGTTCCCATTCCCACAGACCAGGATCAGACAGATGGTGAGTATAGTTTGATGATGATGCCATGCCGCTCATGGCTTATTTTTAAAATATGTAGTCAACATTCATGTAAAAAATGTGATCTACCGAGGTTATCAAGCGTGTTCCATTTGAATTTTGAATATATTTGACTTTCTATTTGTCGATTGCCTAAGCGCCGACCGCAAATAAGTCGTGCGATAAGACGCGGCTTTGTTGCGGTTCAACGTTACCAAAAAAACAAAAAAGGTACCTAGAATTATATTTAAAAATTGTTTTAACCGCACTGCAGCGCCTCAAGACGATGATAACGAACCAGCGGCCGCAGGGTCGAACGAGCGGGGCGCGATTAAAGCAATTCATCACGGTCAACGCTTCTCACGTAAGCTCACACGCAGACTAACGCAAAGAACTTTCGCCGAGGCGAGAGCCCTTAAGAAACAAAGCAAAGAAGCGATCCATGTGCTTATCTATGCAGCCGAATTGGTAAGTGGAGAAATTATGCCAAATTTACGGTTACTCTATTGTCGTGCTTACTATCGTCAAGACTAATCGGTCTGCTTATTGCACCATCACGAGCATACCGTAAGTACAGTGTGTCAAAAACGTATTGGTACACCAATATAGTATCAATTGTGTCAGACAATATTTAATTATAAAATATTTTATAATTCAATATAATTATTTATGACATGAAAATCACGTTAGAAAATGAATACTGATTAATTTATACAAATATTTATTTAAATTGTTCATAGATTGCCACCGATCCGAAGCAGGCCATGCAAAAGGCAAAGGAACTGTGGGGATATCTAAGTGCTGACGAGCCGGAAAATCAAGCTCGGCCAGTCACCCTGGAACAGTTGATTGTGTTGCTAACTCGAGAGTCAGCCAGACGCGTTGTTCACTTCGTCAACTATAGCGCGCATGTTGCTAACAATTTACCCAGGTGAGTGGACGTTTAACAAATAGACGATTTTTAGAAGGGACTGACGAATAATTGTTATTCTAGAAATTTGGCACACACCACCAATGAGGTTATACATCAAATAATATGCATTAATAATCGCATTATAACAATAACTCGCCTGGACAAGGTCAAAAATATATCCAAGGAAGAAGCCGAATCTCTAATTAAACGTATGATCGCCTTCTATGGCAACCTGCAGGTACTCTCGAATGGTTATCTGGTAAATAAGCTTGATTTTGATTGAGTTTTATATTTTTCATCTGAACTTCTTTAAAGGAACGTGTCGCGAGCTTTTTGTCGGGACGCATTGAAGCGGAAAAGGTGACGGGTAGCGAGAGCAACGCGGTTAGCCGATCCTCGAGAAGACGTCAAGAGGCAAATAATTTCTCGCCCGCGCAAAATAATATAAATGGGGTCTATTGAGAAGCCGAGTTTTTTATTGTTGTCGTATTTTTATTTCTAATTATAGAGTTTTGCTTTTGCTTTCATTTACGTACTAATTAAACAGATTTATTTGTTTGTTTATTTTTGTTTTAAAGTTCATAGATTTATTATAACAACAAATTCATTTGAATAAATGCTCCTTATAGTATTTCAATTCTGATATGCTCTCTTTAATGTCTTCGAGGCTGCGGTGAGCGAGCTGTTTGCGTGGAACTCTATTAGCAACCTGTGGATTCCATCTAGTTGCCAGCTCCTTTATAGTAGAAACGTCTATGATACGATAGTGTAAATATTCATCGACAACGGGGAAAAACTTTCGTAGAAACAAGCGATCCATATAGACGGAGTTGCCAGCCAATGGGCACTTTCGCTTTGGTATGTTTTCCTTCAGGTACGTAAGAATCAGATTTTCCGCTCGATCGGGCGTCACATCTGAGTTCTTACACCTGTCTATCAGACCAGATTCGTTGTGATGCTTAATGCACCACTCGTTCATGCTCTCATAAACATGATCTGCATGCTTTATTGCAAAACAAGGTCCTTCAGATTTAATATTCAAATATTTGTCCGTTATAATACATGCAACTTCCAATATCTGATCTTTCTCTATACTCAGTCCGGTCATTTCCAAATCCATCCATACAATGTCCGATGGTTCGCCAACAGGATTTTTGCACGTGCTCATTTTGGTATATTGAGTATGATACAACGATGCAGTTCGTTTACTGAGTATTGTACACAGCCGATTGAACTTAAATGTCATTTCAGGTAGAGTTTAAATTTAAAAAACTCTAGTTATATTTGCTGTACTTTGCGAGTCAACGCCGGCATCACTCGGAGTTAGTTAACTCTCATGTTAACACAATCCATGCTTTTTCTAATTTGGGGAAATTTTAACAGAAACAGCTGCTTGTGGGCACTTGGCGTGTGGTAAAATATATGTAAATATGTATATATTTATAAATTTATTTATATTTATTGTATGAAAAATTATTATTAGTTTCGGTTTAGGTTAATTGTTGAATAAAATTATAATTAACTGAATTATTTTAGCAAAATATAAAGTTACATATTTTTTCAGCATTATAGAACACTGAAATTGAAACACAATTTGTTAACACTGGCCGTACATTGTGCGTTTTCTCAACAAAAAGCAAATCGAAAAATTGTAACAAGAAAGGAATACAACGTAACTGAAACAAGAAACACAAAATGTCCTCCTCGACGTTGAGAGATGAACCCGGCACTTCAAAAGAATCGTTTGAGGACTTCTACACCGAAGTAAGTTTCGTGATCCTATTCAATGCCGTGCCAGCGCCAAACCCAACGCCAACGCAAATGCAAACGGCAATGGCAAAGGCTAATCGAAAGACAGAAAAAAAAAGAATTTTGTTATACACATAAATAAACGATTTTGTGACTATTTTCGCAGGTGAAAGAAATTGAAAAACGCGATTCAGTACTAACTCCTACTCAACAAATTGATCGTTTACTTCGTCCAGGTTCCACATACTTCAATCTTAATCCTTTCGAGGTGCTGCAGATTGAGCCCGACGTCGAGGTGGCCGACATAAAAAAACGTTATCGTACTCTCTCCATACTGGTACATCCAGACAAGAATCACGATAACCAGGAGCGCGCCCAAATGGCATTCGACATTGTTGCTCGTTCCTGGAAAATTTTGGAAAACGACCTAACACGCAAAAAGTGTTTGGAGGTGTATGAGGAAGCTAAGGGCCGTACAGATCATATGGTAATTACTTTCATATATATTTTCAAAGAAAATTTATCGAAACTTACGTATTTTAGATTGCCGAAAAACGTAAAAAACTCAAAAAAGAAGGTAGATCGTTTGAACTAATACCTGAAGACGATCCTGCAAAATATAAACATGCAATTTATGTTATGGTCATGAAACTTTTTGCCGACATGGAACGGCGACGGCAAAAGCTTGATCAGCGCGATCAGGAGGAGCGTAAGCGAAAGCGCGAAACCGAAATCGAGGAAGAGGAACGCGTCAAAGCAGATCGTGAGTGGCAGCAAAACTTTGAGGAATCCCGTCAAAGTAGAGTCAACAGCTGGCACGACTTCCAATCTGGCGCTAGCAAATCGAAGAAGACTAAAAAACAAAAGCATATGACCGGCATGATGGTGCCGCCAAAGTTTAAGCCGGAGACACGATGAAATCCGTTTGCGACTGTCGTCAGCCGCCTCATTATTTTACCCATATATTTTTACATTTTTATAAGTATCCTTTGGAATTGTAATAATTGACATGATCATAATTTATAGTTTTAGGTAAAACAAACATTTGGGTTTCATGTCTTCATTCGATTTTCTTTCTTTTAGAGTTCCGTATACAAACTGGCTGTAAATACAATATCACGCTTTATAGCCGCCGAGGCCTCTTCCATTTTAGACTGCAAGCCGGGATTTCCGATTCGTATGGCTGCAGTTTTTACATCGCGAAGTGTTTCGTCCAACTGCTGAATACATCTCACAATGATGCCTTCCTGTACCTCGGTTAATTTCATGATTTCGGCGAAGGGCTGCAAAATTCGATTTTTGAATTGGTAAACAAAATTTGAGTCAAGCTCTGAATCTCACCTTATTCTTGGCCCACTCGTAGACAACTTCGAGCAATCCAAAGTTCAGATTATTTTCTGCTTCAATTGCCGCTTGACAGCGTTGTTCCTCGGCTAAGATGGTGTCGTTGATTTGCTCGAATGCAGCAACACATTTCTTAAGCGGCTCTGGGATAACAGGTTCTCCCTGAATTTTAGCCTGAAACACCAGGCCCGACAATAGCGCAGCTATCTCCGCTGGCTCCAGATCATTAAACATATTGCACAGTATTAGCTCAGTAATCAACAGCTCATTTTGACCCATTTCGCAAGCCACCTTCCCCTTAAGTGTCACCTCGTTTAGCTCATCGATATAGTTGAGAGCCCGCAACACCTGCAGCTTGTTGCAGTAATCCGGATATAGGGTTAAGTTCTTAGCCGAATTCTTGAAGCGCAACTCCTCAATGTGGATCTCCAACACACGACGCTCGTACACCTTGGCGAACTCCTGCTCAAAGCCGGCAATATTAGTGTGGGGGAGTACATCGCCCACCTGGCGTGCGAGATGATCCACATAGTTCAGCATGGCCACTTCGGTTTCCGCATTCACGTTTATCTCCTTGGACATGTTGATGTATTTAATGCTATCCGGATTGGCGTTGTACGCCTCGTTTAACTGATGTAGCTCCGTGACGGCTTTAACGACTGTTGCGCCAAGAGGCGCATCCTTAAAGCGTTCCAACTGTCGCTGCTCCCAATTCCGTATGATGACATCGGCGTCCACTTTAATTGTTGATTTTGTAATCGTTAAGATATCAATGGCTCTGATGTCCAGGACGGTATGTCCTCCAATGCCCTCTGGATGGAAAAACTTGTTCTGCGGCGTCAACGAGAGAATTTTGTAATAAAGCTCGCCGCGATTGACGTTCTCGCAGTCGTTGCTCTTGAATTGATGGTCCAGCACCAATACCTTGTACACGGTATCCTTGCCCAGCACGGACTTGACATTAAGCAATAGGGCTAGCTTATTGTAGTGCTTGCCCTGCGTGATGACAATGATGCGGCCCACTTTCAGTTCCTTTTGAATTTTCGGCTGGCTTAAAATGAATTTCTGTAAATGGAAGCAAGTAGATAATTAGGTTAACCAATCGCTTGATTGTTACTCACCATTATGCGATGCTTCTCCTTCCAGTATTCCACGGACTTGTCGTAGAAATATATCAGCGGTGTAAGGTGCTCGGCGAGGTTGGGTAGCGTAGCAAATTTGTCCTCGGCCAGCTGCAGAAGCTTTCTCTGCGTAGGTAGCTGCAATTTCTGATTGAACTCCTTAAAGCTGAATTGCATTATGTCCTCCACCTTGATGCTCTCAATGCGCAGACATGTTAGTATTACGGCGTAACGTAGAATGAATTGCGACTGTAGCTTTTCTGGCAGACCCAGAATCATAGGTCGCAGTTCCATAGACGGTGGGACTTGAGACTTGCACAGCAGGATGACGGTACCATTCTCATCGTGTCCACGTCTTCCGGCGCGTCCGGCCATTTGTATGTATTCGCCCGGCTTTAGATTACGCATCTCAATGCCATCGAATTTCTTGTGCGAGTCAAAAATTACTGTACGAGCCGGCATATTCACGCCCATGGCAAAAGTTTCTGTGGCAAAAAGCAGCTTGACGAGCCCGTTCTGGAAGAGCATCTCAACGATCTCCTTGAGAATTGGCAAAATGCCGCTATGATGTACACCAATGCCACGCTCCAGTGCGTCCTTCAGTGACAGCACCTGTGGTATAGTACGATCGGGTGGCTTTAGCTTGGCCAGGCATTGCAGGAAGAACTTTTGCACTGCGCCCTTTTCCACTGCCGTATTGAGATCCACAGATTGCAGGGCAGCCACATTGGCATCGCAGCGATTGCGAGACAGAGTGAAGGCTACCACTGGCATCTTATTGTTGCGCTTAAGAAAATCAATTAGACCAATCCAGGTGCACTGATCCTGCTTGCTGCTGACATAGTTTTTAGCACCGCCCGCTTTAGATTTGCTTTGCATTTCCTTCTTACGCTCCACAGCCTTCTCGTAGTTGCCCTGCAGAAATTTACCCTGAGCATCGACCAAAAGAAAGATATCATCACGACTCTTGCCGCCGGCGCCAGTATAAAGGTAATGCATCAGTGGCACTGGACGTTTCAGCGTGCTTATGACGTATACCTTACGCTTCTTTGTGCTGCCCACCCAATCGGCAAGTTCCATGGTGTTAGGAACAGTGGCGCTAAGCATGATAATATTGACATGGTCTGGCAGTAATATGATAACTTCCTCCCAAACATGGCCTCGCTCGGGATTATTGATATAGTGGACCTCATCGAAAATGACATATTCCAGATCACGTGTTATATCGCTGCCACAATACAGCATAGAACGCAAAATCTCGGTGGTCATAATAAGGCACGAGGCGGTTGGTTCAATTTGTAGATCACCTGTGATGAGACCCACATCTTTGAATGTCTTGCGAAAGTCGCGGTACTTTTGATTGGATAGCGCCTTTATGGGAGACGTGTAAATGGTGCGCGTTAAATCGCGCTTCGACAATGCAATGGCGTACTCAGCCACCACGGTCTTGCCCGCAGATGTGTGAGCCGCGACGAATACATATTGACGTTGCTCCAGCTTGAGAATGGCCTGCTTTTGGAATACATCCAGTTCGAAGGGAAACTCCATGGCCGGACAGGGTATTTGCTCCTTGAAGTTGAGGATGGGCTGACTGATGTCCACCATTTCTGCCCAGTCGCTGCTAAAGGTTTTTGGATATCTGCTGGAACCAGTTCAAAGTGTCCACCACGAGCTTAGCAATCTCCAGTGGCTGCTCTCTTTGCATTAAAGCCGCCTGGCCAGAAGGGATAGTTCATGTGCGATCCTCGTGTTATTTCTTCCAACAGACCAGACCCGGTTCGCGTTGCATGGACATGGAGTTATTTGGCATTGCCCGCTTTAGATTTGCTTTGCATTTCCTTCTTACGCTCCACCTTCTCGTAGTTGCCCTGCATAAATTTACCCTGAGCATCGACCAAAAGAAAGATATCATCACGACTCTTTGCCGCCGGCGCCATTATAAAGGTAATGCATCAGTGGCACTGGACGTTTCAGCGTGCTTATGACGTATACCTTACGCTTCTTTGTGCTGCCCACCCAATCGGCAAGTTCCATGGTGTTAGGAACAGTGGCGCTACATGATAATATTGACATGTCTGGCAGTAATATGATAACTTCCTCCTCCCAAACATGGCCTCGCTCGGGATTATTGATATAGTATTTGCTCCTTGAAGTTGAGGATGGGCTGACTGATGTCCACCATTTCTGCCCAGTCGCTGCTAAAGGTTTTTGTTGTGGTGGATATATTAAGGATAGGCTTCAGATCCGCGTTCATTATATCATCATCAACGTCTTTGAATTCTGCTGGAAATTGGAGATCTTTCTGTGGCGCATTTGTGCTGACGGCTTCGCTGTCGCTTCTCGTCATTTGTAGCCACTGCTGCACGTCGAGGTCTTCCTCCAAGTTCTCTAGCAAATCCACATTGCTACTTGTGTCAGCCGGCTCCTTGACCTTCTTATCCAATGAGAAGTCATGACCACTAGCAAAGCCTGGCGGCACGGTTAGCAACTTATCGCCCAGTTCAAAGTTGTCCACCACGAGCTTAGCAATCTCCAGTGGCTGCTCTTTTGCATTAAAGCCGCCTGGCCAGAAGGGATAGTTCATGTGCGATCCTCGTGTTATTTCTTCCAACAGACCCGGTTCGCGTTGCATGGACATGGAGTTATTGGCATTGGCGCCCACATCCTCCACATCCACCTCGATAAACTCGAGTATTTCGCCGGTAACAAAATCTCTACGTGGAATTAGCTTTGTACTTCCCGGGCATTTGGGAATGTGCAACAGGCGCATTTCATTAAATTTACGCGGCACCACATCGGGCAGTGGATCATGAATGGATATATCTGGATTAAGTATATAATTGCGAAGCTTCCCATAGTTGTCGTCGCCGCGAATGTCATTCATTGTGCAGCGACTTAAATCTATTTTTCTAACATTAACACAAAGCGACAGAAGAATATTTGCGTACTAGTCAGTGTGACCATGCAATGTATATCAATTTTTATAAAATACCAAAAGCTAAAATACCCAAAATGCTGTAGTGACACTCACTTGGGAAAACTATTTACTTGAATTTCATCGTGTAAACATGAGTTTATTTGAATTAAATTTTTAATTCATAAAAAAATAAAAATTACAAAATTCTCAGGGAAAATACAAACATTTTACAATAGTGATATTTTTTGTATATAAAAAGCCATTAAGCCATATAAGCCATTATTCTAGAAAAAAAATTGAAAAGTTGAAATTTGTAGTTTCTGTGATGAAATAAGAAACTAGTAATAGCTCTAGGTAACGACCTTTATATGTGTAATATATATATATATATATATATATATATATATATATAAATATGTATACATAAACTTAACAACTTTAATAAAGCTATAATTATATTTATTATAAATAATAAAGTCAATCTGATGTTTATAAGGAATACTTTTAATTATCAACATAAATAAGAGATTTAGTTTCCAGTTTATAAGAACTTGATTTCATCATATTTTATTATTTCATATATTCAATTATATTTTTAATTACTTTTTGCGAAATATCTCAACCTTTAATGGGTGACATTTCTCATCGGGCACTTGGGTACCCACCGGAATGGAGACGTCACCTTGAGGGCACGCACTGAGTGCCACCAATAGATTCATATCGGCTATAAACTCAATGAAATCGCCTTTCTGAGCGGGACTGGGCTTACAGAAATACTGGTGGGTATCTTTGGTGAAGCCAGTGCACATAAAAATATTCCATACATCATGTACATCCTGCTCGGTCATGCCGCGCTCCTCTACTACAGCTTTGACGAGGGAGCTGTGACAGCTGCCCACACGCTCTTGCCCGGTGATCAGCTTGTAGGTGTAGTCGTCACAGCGTGTGCCGATAACATCGTGCAATGCACCGCCGTCCTCATCGATGCCATATTTGGCCAGGGTGTCGAACACGAAGGTTGCCATGGGGCGAAGGTAAGGTAGACAGCTCCACAATCTGTCATATACCTTCAGATGGGATGCGTGCAGTTGGCGCGTCTTGCCCGAGTAGAAACGTTCCTGGCGATTGTCCAAGTTCCAGAAGTTGACATCACCCACCTGTGCGCCCTCGTGCACTGTAATACGGCAGAGATCACCTGTTTGCATGGTCCAGGTGCGTGCTTCACGCTTGGGCACCACCAGTGTCTCTACCAGCTCGCCAGTCAACGCTTGGAAGCGCTTATTCTGCACAGAAAAAGACAATCGCTTTAATTTATTTAACAGCATTCCATTTACTACATATTTACATCGTATTCATCTTTGGAAACAACGGAGGCCGCCGGCTTGTCATAACATATGATAGGCTGGTGCTTAGCAAACTCGCGTGGCTTGTCGCCGCGTCCACACCAGGAATTTTGTTTGGATTCCATAATGTTCACCTGCTGAATTCTAAGCAATATATTGCAACTTAATGAGAAATTCTTTGAACGGAATTTTAGTTACACCTACTCTAATCGTTGTAATGATCTACCGATTATAAAAGTTGCACTCCCATCAAAAGTCCATCGTCGACTGATCAAACCGCTTAAGATAAAGTCATGAACCGCGGCAGCAACAGGTGAGATTATAGTCGGGGCTTTCAAGCTTGTCCGATATCGATGATCATCGTGCCGCTTTTATTAAAAATATTCAATTGCAAAAAAAAGGAGTTATCGATTAACAATGAAACCGCTTTGTTTACAATAGTTGATATCAGGTAAATTAAATTTGATCATTACTGAAAAATGAATAATTCACTTCATAGTTTAACCGACTAAAACAAATATCAATTTTATTATTTATCAAGAATACGTAGTTAATAATTACACACATTTCAGCAATTTTAAATGGTAAACAAATTAACAACATATCAAGTGGGAATTAATAGTTTATGTTTGTAACGAAACGTTACGTATTTTACAAGTTTTCTTTTTTCTTTCTCTTTTAAATTATTACTTATGTTTGTTTGGTCATAACAGTTAACTGCATGCACATTTGTATACGTATATCTATATATATATATTAATACATCTAATTGAAGTGGTTGGTTGGCTAATCTATATATCGTCTGTTTTTTAGTTTTCCCTGCTTAGATAGCTATGAATATTTCCATATTATTTAGGTTTGCATCATTATGCGCTCGGTGGTGCGGAGTGGCGCTGGCTCTGATCCTGTGAAGGGCCCTTGGCTCTGTATCTTGTACATCAGCTCATCGAGCAGATTGTTCAGCTCTTTGGTGGAAAACTCTTGGGGCATGGGCAAGCGTTCTAAAGCCATTTTTAGTACAACGCATGGCTCCAGTTCAGGACAGACGATGCACATGCCATTCACCAGGCAACTTAAGCTCTTTGCTATTTCGCTTTGGCAGAGACGATGCTTGGATGTGGGACATGGGAGCAGGCTGATACGTGAGCAAATCTCACTAAGCTGCGGCTTCAGATTTTCCCAACGTGCTTGTATATCCTCCACGCTATTGACGTTGTGTATATGCTTGAACTTTTCATTGATGTCAATGTAATCCAGAAATATTTGACCCTGATTTGTCCAATTTGGTACCTTGACGTTGTTGCTGTCCGCACACTCAAATTGACTCAACAGATTATACAAATACTGCAAATTACCTGTAAGAAAATATTATATTCATATATTAAAAAAAATTCAAATAAAAAAATATGTGAAAATTACTGTTTATAACGGCATCTGGTGCAATATATTGATATATGATTTCGTGGGCCAGCACCCAATGTTTGGCCTTTAGTAAATACTTTGCTTGCATGTGGCGCTGACCCTGGGCTCCCGCTTTCAACGCTTTGGCATAGTCCACCCAAGACTCGGGTACACCAAGCTGCTGAATGATAAACTGCTCTTCTTCGCTCAGTTCCACATGAGTGTCTATGGTGACATGCTGCTGTAGTGTGTGCTGCACAGCACGTTCGCGCTGATTACGATCCTTGATATGCAACTGCACAAATATTGCCCATTGCCACAAGCCCTCATTCTCCAGCTGGCTGGCAAAGTCCACGTGCAGCTGCGCCTCTGTCAATGAGTTGCAATGATGATAGCCTAGAGCTTCCAAAGTTTGCAGCAGCATCCAGCTGTAAATTCAAGAAATATTACTCAATTGTCTTGCAATTACGCTTTGCTTTGTAAAGAGCTTACCTAAGGCGAAAGTCCATCGGATCGGATGTATGTGTAATTGGGTTCAATGTTTGCTCCAGGGAATGCTTACGCTTTGAGAAGAGCTGTAGCAGGTGATAGCGTAGATCATATACAGGCTTCTTGCTCTTGTAGGGGACTTTATTGTAACTGGGCTTTGGCTCATTCGCGTAGAGCTCCTCGGCTTGGAAGGCATTGTCGTACTCCAGCAGGGCATCTGTTATGGTAGACGTGGGCGCAGTAAAGTACCATAGCTGCAGTGCCAAAACGTTCAACCAGTTACCGTCCTCAAGCAGATTAATGGGGCCATGTGAGGACGTCATTAATGGCACGCCTGCGGCCAACATGAACATTTTAATACGCTCCAGGCTGATATATTTATCGGATTTGCTTTGCTGCCAGGCAAAGAGCTGCTCTTCTAAGAGTAGACGCACCACAGCTCCTGAGCTCAGCTGTGCCAGGATCAAAGCCAAATTCGCATCATCGTATTTAAACGCTAATTCACAAGCTTCGGTTACACGATGACAGCTTAACAAATCGATCATGTGCTCCAGATAGCTATTGCTGCTGACCTTCTTTGATAACAGGTCCTTGCTAACCAGCGTATTTTCCAGCCACTCCGATAGCAGATTGCGCCGACACATGATCACATAGTGTGAGTTGACATCCTGTCCAATGAGCTCTTCATGCTCTCCCCACAGAGCAAAAAGAAGCGACCACACGGACACGCCATAGTCAGCCATGCTGCTGGTATTGTTCAACTTAATGGCTTCAGCCAGATGCTTCGCAATCAGTTCTGTTCCGTTGCTCGACTGCAGCCAAGGACAGCCGCTACCTTCTACCTGATTTGAGGTACAGTCTTGCAGTTGCACTGTCAAGTGTGGCACAATGCTTTCAGCAAAATGTGTATACATATCCACGGTGTTGAATTTTACACGCTGCAACAGATTCGGTGAGAAGTCATTGGAGGCTCGTGGCGCAAACACAAGCGCTGCAGGCAACACCTGTTCATTGACTATAAAAAATGTATAGTTATCATTATAAGAATTTCACAATCTAGAGTAAAATATAATTTTGTCAGTTACCTTCATGAGCGCTGCGTAAGTTGTTGAACGTGTTTGGAACCATGAGTGTGTTTTGAGGTCCAAAGCTGAGCTTGAAGCCCCGTCCTTTATAGAAGCCCAGATCTGCAACCCAGTGTTCGTGGAGATCACGTGCTATGGAACGCGACAACGGTACCGAAAAGCCGCATACTTTAATAGGCGCTACTTTGGGTTTTATAATAAAATCGAATGGCTTGAGTCCACTTAAAGATGTCGCAGGACTCTTCTTTTGAGCTGGTTTAATACTTTCAGCTGCCACAGATGAAGCCTGATAGGATAAGAAATCAAAAAGATATAAAAAATAACTAGATATATATCTATATGACTGTATTACCTCTTCCGATTGTACGTCGCGGATTATACTGGTAACAGAAGCGGATGAAGACACAGCTAATAGAGGTGATTGACGACCATAATCACTTGAGCTTTCCGATACTGGAGCATCCTTCCACATATGTGTGTCTTGGGTGTACAAATTGTGTGAACGTTTCAACTGTGGTTGAATACACGTTCGCTGTGAGTCTTTGGAGATAGAAAATATTATGACATGAGATTGGCCAATATAGGATACAAAAACGATCTCATATTCTTCATATCCTTTCTTTGGAATTTCATTATATACTGAAATCCTTTAAACGTATGCATACCTATATCTTCGTCGCTGCCTTGATCTTCTACAAACAGCGATGATTTCATCAATTGCATTTTGTGCGGTTCTTTGCCTACAACATCCTGTGCCAGAGCGGCCGTTGGGCTAGTCACAGTACGTGGGGCATCAAACATGGATAAATCCGTACCACTGCCGGCCTGAAAGAACTCTAAGAAGTGGGAAACAACAATACAATTTCAGTTCCTTTCATTATAGAAACGATTATCAAACTACTTACGAGTCTTGTCCATCATAAGGAACTCCGACGAGTTGTCCATGGGGCGAAAACCACTGGCAACTCCAGCGGCCAACGATTTTGGATCTATACTGCGTGCAGCCTCTTCCGAAATCCGTTGCGCCTTGTGCAGCAATGTCAAAGTCATTTTATCGGTTGAAGCGGCAGCAATGCGTTGCGCATCCATGGCAACTGTTTTGGCTTTTTTAGGATCCGTGGGCACTTCGTCATCGTCCTCATCACTGTCGTTCAAACCATACTTGGAGAAATGTTTGACGCGGAACACCCAGCTGCCTGTCTCTGGCCGGTACTCAATGAAACGCGTTGCATTCTTATCACAGACTCTACGCAATTTGCCCTCCCAGTCGATTTCGAGCAAACGTTGCGGATCCTTAATGGCCTCATGTTTGGTCTTGTCCAACGGCCACACCTGGTCCAATGTCACCTGAGCGTCGCGATTCAAGCCATTGCCAATCGACGGCTTATTGTCATCATCGGGATATACGATGACCTCTTTGTTGCGAAAATGTACTGCGGGAAAGAAGGTTAAATTACTGTGTTTGGAGACAAGTGTGTAGTGTACCTACCAATCTCATCCAGGTTAAGCCCGGCCACATCAAGCTCTTTGCCAAAGTAAACGTTGCCGTAACCCTCGCGGCCAACTGTAAAATTGGGCACCACGCAGGACCCATCCTCTGCCAGATACGACTTGAGATCCTCCAGTGAAGGAATGGTATAGTAACCCACACGTCGGAGCACAATACCCGTTGGATGGGGCTCTTGGTCAGCGTCAGCATTTCCATCTGCTTCCGAAGTTGGTTCTATGGCCAAACGTTGCTCCGAGTCGAGGGAACGTATGGAGAGTGTAGTATCATTTCCATGCTCTGAGTTGAAAGTGTCGCGTCGCAAAACGCTGCTGGCCTGATCCTCAAAAGGATTCTCCGGTATGGTCGACACCGACAGACGTGTTGGTGCTGCATTTATGTAGGTTTCCAAGGGCTTGCGTGGCACTAATTCCGTGAGGGTGCTATTTAAAGGTGCCTGATCTATGCCCGACTGTAGATTATGCTGGCGCACCTTGGCCAAATTATTGGGATGCAGCCACGACTCACGTCGGCTGCTGTCCTGATCAGCTTTGACAATTCCTGGTGAGCTATGAGCATTACCGCTTTGTGTTGGCTCGTTGGATATGACACCATTGAATGATTCACGTTGCGGACGCACTATGCCCACTATTGCGGTGTTGTTGTTGCTGTTGCTACTGCCAGTGGCAGGACTGTTACTCTCGCCTGCAATTGGACCCTGAGTTTTCACTTTGGGCTTTATCACTAGCCGTTTGACGTTGGGCTTAAGATTGAAGCCCTCCACACTGGCATCGAACTCTTCAAGGCCGTCAAACATGGATTTGCGATTATTTGATGTGCCCAGCGCCTTAACACGAATGCTGGATGGACTGTCTTTATTGGTCACCTTATACTGATTACTGCTCAGATCCAACATCGCCTGCTGAGCAGCGGGGTTTGTGGCACGTGTGGCGTCCACTTCATCGTTGCGCTTCAAGTCCTTAAAAATAGGCGTATCACCGTATGGAGATGTTACCTTGGATAAAATCTGCTGGTGTATAGGCACCATTACAACAGCTGGAGCCGCTCCCAGCCCACCTAATCCAGAGAGCCCCGTATTACCGCCACCGCCAAGAGTGCCAAAGCCGCCGCCTAATGTCGACCCGAAACAACCTTGGTTACTAGTGCCAAAGAGACTGCCACCACCGGCAGCCGCGCCAGTGCCCGCGCCAAGGGTAGAAGTACCGCCAAAAAGACCACCCGGCTTGCCAGCATTGCTGAAGAGAGAACCGCCTGTGTTGCCGGCATTAAAGTTGAGCGGCGCCGACGTGGTGGATCCGAAACCACCAAACGCTGAGGTTGCTGGCTTGTTGAGATTAGAGTTAAATAAGCCGCCTCCGGTACCCGCATTAGTGTTGCTCAATGAAAAGTTTCCGAAGCCCGTGTTTGCTGTGGAGCTGGCACCAAAGGCAGGCGCTGCAAAGCTCGTAGCCGGCTTGGAGCCAAAGAGGCCGCCGCCAGCTGTGCTGGTTGCCGGCGCACCAAAGCCACCAAAGCCACTGTTGGGTGCCGACACCGAGGCGCCTAGGCCAAAGGCAGCTTTATTCGGATCATTACCAGTTGCTGCTCCAAATAGCGGAGTTGCCTGGGTGGTGGCTCCAGCGGTGCTGCCGAAGCCCCCAAAGCCTGTCGTTGTTTGTCCAAAGGCTGGAGCTGCACTCGTGGCAGTCGCCTGGCCAAACATGCTGCCGCCGGGTTGACCAAAGCCCACGGGTTTGGCACCAAACGGATTCGAAGCGTCTGTAGCTGTTGCTCCAAATGCGTTGGTCGTGGTAGCTCCAAACGGTTTCTGCATGAAATTGTTCTGTTGGGCTGGTGCGCCAAAGGCGCTAGTTGCTGCTGGCTGCCCAAAGGCTGAGTTGCCGAATAGGCTCTTGTTTTCAGTGCCTGTTTGCCCAAATAAGCCAGTGGTTTGCTGTTGCTGTGCCGGTGAGCCAAAGAGTCCGGTAGCTGCCGGCTGCGTAGCGGCAGCTGGACTCCCAAAGCCAAAGGCACCCGGTGCACTTCCGGCCTGTGGCCCCTTGCGTGAGCTCAGATAGTCCTCCATGCGCAGCTCTTCCAGTGACTTAGCCTCATACTCTTTCATTGCGGTAATGCAATGTTGTTTGGTATTCACATTGTTCGCCTGGCCACCCTTCATTAGCGTATCCGTGCCAATGGTCGGCTGATATTTGACCAGAGAGGTGCCCGGATTAACACCCCCCGCAGCTCCTACGGTCACTGCCTGCGGTTGTCCAAATGCCGACGCAGCGCCACTGCCAAACACATTTGTCGTAGTTGGCGCCGCCTGACCAAAGCTACCAAAGCCCGAAGTGCTCGCAGCAGTCGTTTGCTGACCAAACAGTGGCTGTGCTGCCGGAGTTTGTCCAAAGCTACTCATGCCTAGTGTTGCGGGCTTTGCGGCGCCAAAGGCACTGGTAGCAGCCTGCCCAAACAGCGAAGTGTTTGGAGCTGCCTGTGTGGAGCCAAATATGTTGGATGCTTGCGGAGCTTGTGAAAATGCTGGAAATGAAAAACAAAATCACGAAAAGTATTAATAGGTTGAATGGAATATATACCATCAGACATCCATTGAGACTCTACAGATCACAAATATGTATATGTACAAAAATATATTATATAATTATATTATTAAAATATAAACAAATAAATTTGTATATCTGCAAGAGCAGAAAATGCTCTATTTATAGCAGATGAGCTTCATGTGTTTATACTTTACGACTGTCTGTAAATGGTAACATAATTCACTAAAAAATCATCGTGGCCTATTCGAAGGGTATTAAATCGGCTTTTCTATTCGTCTCTAACCTCCAAATGATGTGGGTGCTGTGGTTGTGCCGCCAAATGCGCTGGTTGTTGTTGAACCACCGAACAGGCCGGCAGTTTGTTGATTTGTTGCCGGCGTAGTGCCAAACATCGACGGTTGAGTCGGCTGCGCGCCAAAAGCGGAAGTGGCACCAAAAGCTGGCGTCGCTGGCTTTCCAAACGCCGATTGACCAAAAGGCGTTGCAGCTGCGCTGTTGCTGAATGTGCCGAAGCCCGTGGTGCCGGCACCCGTGCCAAATGTGGGTTTAGCGCCGCCAAACATCTTGATTGATCCGCCGGCTAGCTGTTGGTACACACAAACATACACTAAACACTAATCGCAAATCGTCAAATGATTTCACAAAGGAGTGAAACACGAGCTCGGGTTGCGCAAATAAATATATGTTTATATATATATATATATGTATATATACATATATGTGTTTGTGAGTGCGTTTCTTGTGTTGTTTTTCTGTGTGAGGCACACAAGTGCAATATCGAACGATTGATTGAGCAACAATAATAATACAAATTTAATATAATTTGTCCGTTTAGTTATTTCGGAAGCACAAACACAGTAATGGCGCGCCGAATATTTTTCACGATGTCTTGTCTGGCGGAAAACAATGCGACCGTTCGTATCAACCTTCGAAGGTTTTTATAAATGCGAGTATATGTATTCTGCAGCCCTGAAATAGCAAAAATACTATCTAACTAAAATACTAGTATGTTAAAAAATATGTTTAATGGACTATCGCATTCAAAATATGTATAATAATTGTAACTTTAATGTATTAAACCATTTTTTTATTATTTACACTTGATTTTGAATGATCAAACTTTTAGGTATTTTTAAAGTTTCGCATGGCTGGTCACATTGTCCAGTACAAGTCGAGCAACAGTTGAAATGAGTACTACTATTGCTCCGCGCGGGGTTCATTCCGGTTAATTAATTAATTGTGAACGAGACAGCGAAGTGGAAATATGCCCGCTCGAGTGTGTATGCGTACGAGTGCGGGAGCGTAAGCAGAGATTATGTTCGGCCAACTCCCAAAATGAGAACAATTTGAAACGACTAATAAACAAGTGCAAATAAAAAATTAATTAATTAATTATAAAACGGCAAGAGAATTGTGCAATAAATAATACAAATAATACAAGAAAGTGCCAATGTTGTCGGCTCTGAACATCTAAATCACATTCAACTACGTGTTGCTTACATTTATAAGTGAACATTAATTGTTTTTATTTTCTATACTCATAATTTGCGACGCGTTTTCTTTTTATTTTTTCGCAAACGAAAGTATATATGTATGTGAGCAAGTGTTTATTAGTGTGGTAAAAGTTAACAATAACAACGACGATAACAACAACAACAAGCATTCACAATGGCTGTGTGGAGCGACTGCAATGCTAAGCAGTCATTTGGCATTGGTGAGTGTAAATTAAGCAAAAAAAAAAGAAGCAAAAACTATATTAAATATAAATTTATTTGTTGTCGAACGAATTTTAACAACCACAACATTGTTTCTTTTAAATTTCAACGCTGCAACAAAATTGTTTAAACAATGTGCTTTATTTAGTACCTACATTTTCCTAGAACAACAAACAATTCATGCTGTGTGGGTGAGATGCGTGTTGCTCATTTCCAAAAAAAAGCAACAAGAGAGGATGAAGACTGTATACAACAACAACATCACTATCTTACGCTCTCTCACTCTTACCTTGCGGTTCAAGTGTGAGTCTCTAGGCTCTAGTTCCCCTGCTGCGATGCTACGGTAGTTTTGTTATTGTTGCTGTTGCTGCTGCACCACTCCCTTGCATTCGCCGACCATGTGGTCGCTGTCAACATGCAGCAGACGCAGACATTTCTCTTCCTCTTCGGTCACATTAATTTCGTTTTTCTTTCAATTTCATCCTATTTCTTTCCAGCCTCCATTGCATTTCTTCGCTTCACTTTTCGACACAGGCATAAAAACACAGATTTTGCGTCTGCGTTAAGACCTCGTGTAGCTGTAACCTGTTTTCTATCGCCTGGTTGCACTCACATATACACACACCTACAGATGTGTGAATGCGAGAGAACAAACATCCATTATTCATGCACAACAAATTCTAGTGTATTCATTGGCAATGACCATGAAATGGCAATAGTAATATCTTTGAAATGCTCTCATCGACCTTTGTATACGTGTGATTTTTATTTTATTTTTTTATAATAATTGTCGGCTCTTTTGTTTGTTGACCTTTTCGATGTTCAATAGATAGGTAGAGCGCATACATATGTGTATATGTGCGAGTATATGTGTGATGTATTTACACATTACTCGCGTAATTCACTGTCTCGTAATCGAGTTATAGCTGCTCATTCAAAACACTCACATTATTTACTCTAAATATTTACACGTGCTTGACTCCGTCTCCGCGCTGCCTGCTCTTTCTACCTGCTTTGCACTGTCGAAATTATTTTAATAATTGCATGCACCCAATGTCTCTGCAATGGGCGTGGCTGTCATAAATTTAATCAACATTTTCGGCATTTCGGTCCGTAATGTTATAAAGATATAACGTTAGATTACAAACGGCATTGAGCTTAGTTACATTTATCGCTCACATAATTAACACAAGTCATACAAACATACATATCTTAGTATATGTGTAAAAATACATATACTTATACAAATGCATATATGCATATGTGTAAGTGTAGTAGACAAATCGTAAACGTGCAAAAAACTGGTTTTTAATCCTTTATTTAACTTATCCTTGCTGCATTTTCTAGCCATGAAATTTTGTCCATAAAAAAGAGCGCAAACTGTTCCCTTATCAACTATAGTTTGTTGTTGTCTTATCGCCGGCTTATATATTTTAACGCTTGCGTCTTATACTTTAAACGCTCAGTAAATATGTATGTATGTGTATTTATTGTTAGCATATGCATGTATGTGTGGTGAGCAGTAACAGCAACAACAATGCAACGCATTTCGAAATGCGATAAAAATGCGATTCGCTGTCCCACATTTGAGCAAATAATAGAAAAATTTCTTAAGCTTTTGTTTGTATTTATTCATTTATTTTGTTCATTTGTCATTTGATGCTTGAAAAAAACTTCAATTTGAATGTAAAGCAGAAGAGCGTACACTGTCCCACTTGCCGCCCTCGCTGACCAATGCGTGAGCACATGGACACGCATACAGTCACACAGTCACACACTTGTACTCCATGGCTCTCACACTCTTCACTCTCTTTCGACGTCTTTCTTTTTGTGATGATTTGTGACATGCAGTCGCTGCCAGGCATTTGCCCTGCTACTTCACTGTTCATTGGCATTAGTTGGGCGTCTGCTGCACCTGCGGCTACCCCTGCTCGCTCACTCTCGGTCTGCCTTGCTGTCATGCCTGTTCACATTTTGTTTTTACTCCTTTTCCTATTTACACTTGACTCAGCGCTTTATGCGCCACTTTCTTTAGTAAGAGTAGGAGTAGGTAGCCAAGCATTCTACTTCTAAATTTGAATAGCAACAACAACAAAAGCAACAAGAGCAAAGCAAACGTAAAACTTAATGAGGCTCTGAATTGAAAAGTGAGACCAGAGAGACTGAAAGAGAGGGAGAAGAGTTGAGTTGCGTTGAGTTGGAGTCGAATTGATGAGTTGCTCTGTTGGTTTTCAAATTTGGATTTTCTATTTAATTAAAATTTTCTTGTTCATTAATTTTTGTGGTGCATGAAATGCTTTTTCATTTGCATAATTGAAAGTGCTTTCCATTTTTCTAACATGATAAAGCAAACTTTAATGCAGTTGACCCCAACGTTCATATGTATGTATGTACGTATGTACAATTAAGATACATCTCATGTTGCTGAATCCAAAGTTGTTGTCAAATAGTTTTTCATCCCTTCCGCTCATTGAAGGAACGCTTGAAACCATCTACTGCTGCAGCATCAAATACAACAACAAGAACTAGCCGACTACTTAATACTCATTCACTATATAAAAATAAATTTTAACATTAATATATAAATACAAAATTCACAAAGCCAATATACTCCGTTCATTTAGTGGACGAGTATAAGTAGGCCTCGTCCGCATCTCCATTCACATTCATGCGCATATCCCCAGACAATTGTGCAAGCAACTTAAAGATATCTACTTCCAGTTCTACTTCCCTATAAACTCTGCAGTATCAGTCGAAAGCCAATCTGCGCTTTCCATTTTGTAATTCAAATTGAAACTTAATTGTAGACATCGCCATCACTCAAGCCCCCTCCTGCTATAAGATTTTATTGCTCTATAAATTGCCAATGTCAAAAGATTGTCGCATCTTTTCGTTGTAAATTGACATTTTCCAATCGTGGAAAGCAAAATGGCTGTTAATTAAGCATAAATTGTGTAGAGCGTTTTTTCTTCTGTTTTCTGTTGCGAATTACATCTAAGTAGAAAGTAATGGAGCTCCAGTTGAAGGCGGTCTTTGCATCCAAATCGACTGAGTCATGCATATATTTCTCGAAAAAGTCAGTTGAAATCGGTTTCGTTTTATTGAATTTCTAGTATTACGAGCACGCGGTCAAAGTCCATGTTCCTCAGCTCAAGACTAAGTACTACACATGACTCAGAGGTGAAATATATATATATATATATATATATATATATATATATATATATATATATATCTTTAGTTATTTGCATTTCAGTGGAGCAAAATTTTAATGATATTGCTGCAATTTGAAATGTTGAGAATTATAAATAAAGTTCTCAGAACTATGAGCTGATAATAAAAATTCTTTCTTTAGTTATTATTAGTTGAACTATTAAATTTCTGGAAGTTTACTTATAGAATATATATAGAAATAGGCTTAATAATGTTTTCCAAACGCTTTGACAGTCTGATGTAAGTGTTTTAGATTGTAGCACCGTAAAACACTATAGGCAATCAGTACATTAAACGAATAATGTTACTATAGCTATGAAACTGGTATCCTTATTACCTAGAAATATGTTCTCTAAATCTGTTGACCTAAATGGGTCAAGTTTTTGTTTACTTTTTCACATTGTCAGTTTTTATGGCTCGTTAGTACTATCAACAATGTTTTTTTGTTTCTTTACCGTGTCTAATTTTTGGAGTCATTTTAGTGGGTTTTACGAGTGCGGCGCCATTAACTGTAACTGTCAACTGGCCATAAAATCTTATCTACAAATAGGGTTTGTTCTTTTCTCTTTTGCCGTACTGTCTCACTGTGTATATTTTGTTTGTTTAATAACTTTTGCGAAATAGCAGAAAAAATTTACAGAAGAGAACACAATGGAATTTCTGTTTCGACAAGCCCATAAAAAGCAATTCGCTTAGCTCTGAGAGAGCTAACAATCTAATATACTATATACATATCTATCCATATACATACGCGTTCGCGTGTATGTTGGTATATGTGTATGTATGGAAAAAAAGCAGCTATTATTAGCCAGACAAGCTGCGACTTAACCGTTTGAGATCCATTATAATTGACCCTCAAAACTTAACTCATTTATACGCATGCTCACAAGCATATGCATACATATATGTATGTATGCATGTATATATTTATATATATATATATTTTAGCCATAGCTGAGCTCACAGCTTACAGAACGGAGCGCCAAGAACAAATGAACTTGGAGAACACGCTGACTT